CCCCCCCCCCGCGTAGGTTACAATCCTTCCCAGTCAGGTTAACCAAGAAAAAAGACATGTTTACCCCTCTTCTTAGATAAACATTCCTACACCTTACCGAAGGACCGATCATCACTTTTGTCCAAGCAGCTCGGCTCTACCAAACGATTTCCTGGTTGGTGCAGACGTTCATCACAAGCGATGATCCACTAATGTGAGGTAAGCTTCTCTCTCTCTCTCCGGAGCGAACAACGAACAGATCTAGTTGATAAGGTACACCCAGATCTGCATCGTCTCATCCTGTCTTTGTAGAACTTCTAGTTTCATTCATCTTTGGCCGAAGCTATAAAAATGGACTACATGAAATGCTTTGATTCCCACTCTAACTTAATTTCTAGGGTTTCTCATTTCGATTATTTCTTCTTCTAGACAACAACATGAGGTAATCTTTCTTCTCTACTTTTGATTTATGCGATTCTGAGGTTCTGACCCCCCTTCCGATTGAATCTTTTACGATACGAACAAGTTTTTCTTCTTTTATTTTTGAAATGGAACATAGTTTGTATGGTATGAACTTAGAAGTTTTTGGTTCTTGTTTCAACGTTACTTTTTCTCCCTTAGAAGCTGAGATCTCAATGGTAAAATGGTTAATATTTGCGTTAGGCTCACTTTCGTGAAGTTTACAGTTTCCTTGGGTTCTAGTTAGTGCAATTCTATTTACTGGTTTTTGTTAGATAGTGTCCTTTTTTTCACTCTCCTATGCTTGTGAATGTTACTGGGTTTTATTAAATTTCATTAATTTATGAAAGTGTTGGGTTTTTTTAGTATCATCAGTGTGGTAGAAGCATTTGTGTGTGGCTGGTTGCATCTGTTGGTTGAGAGCTTGACAAAGGCAAACATCGTTCATTACCTTACCTGGATTGGGTTAAGAGTCTTTATCGACTACCTCTCTCTCTGTAGACCAAATGACGAGTAGATTTGGTTGATGAGGTAATCCCAGATCTGCATCGTCTGACCCCGTGTTTGTTGAACTTCTACAGTTGTTCGTATTTGGGGAGTTCTGAATCTATAATAATTGACTCCAAGAGATGCTTTGGAGTGTAGGATATGTTTGGATGCTGATCTGGGCTCTCTTTATATGTCAATGTTGCTGGGTTTTAATAAAGTTCATTAATTTACCAAATTCTTGTGTGTTTGTTAGGATTTTCACTCTAGTACAAGAATTTTTGTGTAGCTGATTAAAAATTCTATTTGAGAGCTTCACAGCGATGAACATTGGTCTTTACCTGCTTTGAGGTAAGTGTCTTTCTCTGTCTGTCTTTGTATCTCTCTCTGGACTGAGTGAAGAGTAGATCTGGTTCATCCAGAGATCCATATCTACTTCCGTTTTCACCAGCTCTTTACTCACTAAAGCACGCATACACAGTTGATGTTGAATGGCCCCAAACTACTTATCTATAGTTTATCAATTCATATAAAGTCTTGGATATTTTTTATGGTTCCCAAACCATTTTTCTACGTATGCTTTGAATACAACTTTTACTTAATATGATTTTCGGGTATCATTAAAGTTGTTGGAAATTTCAGAACACATCTCATCAAGTAGTTTATGGATTTGTTAAGGAAGAGTGATTTTGAAATTGCTCATGTATATGTTGAGGCAAACATGGTAGTATAGTGAGTGTGAGTGGATGGAATGACCATTTTGACGACTATGAGTGATGTTCAAATTACATGTTTGACTATGTGTGAGGCAAACATGATGGGCACAAATTTTGGAACATATCTCTTTGATTCATTGATCACTTTAATTCTTTGATGCATAAATTATTATTTTTGAAATAAGTTACGTGTATTGCTTAGAATATTGGAAATAATGTAACTTAGCTTGTAAAAAAATGCCAGAAAGTAGTGTATGTACAACTCTTTTTGCTTTTGCTTAGCTTAAAGTGTGTTACATGCGTACCACATTCAATATTGACTTCATTATTGTACATGAAATTGTAAGGGTGTTGAGGTGATAAAATGCCAAATCATATTGATGACATCGCTGGATTGATTGTTGTGTTGGATAAAATGAGAGGAGAGATGATAGCAATGTTCTTTTTGCTTGTGGTAGTTATAGTAGTGTTATGGAAAATGGAGAGACAATCAAAACCATAATCAACAAGGTCGTTGTGTATAAATCGATTGCAGGTTGAACACTTGCACCAACTAATTGGTGAGAGTGACATCAATTGCATAGAACAACTTAGGATAAATAGACACAGTTTTTGCGTTCTTTGTAATTTGGTTGAACAATTTGGTGGGTTAAATTGCACTAGATTTGTAAATGTTGAAGAAATGGTGGCTATGTTCCTAAATATATTAGGTCACGATGTGAAGAATAGGACAAGAAAATTCAACTTTCTTAGATCTGGTGAAACTCTAAGCAGATATTTCAATGATGTGTTGAGGGCAGTTATTAAGTTACATCGTCTACTATTGAAGAGACCCGACCCTGATATGACGACCTACAGATAATAAGTGGAAGTGGTTTAAGGTAAGGGAACTATACAATTGTTTAATGTGATTGGATACAATGTAATTTACTTAATAGTAGACTTAAATATGTTTCATTATGTTTACGTTGTAGAATTGCGTAGGAGCACTGGATGGTACGCACGTTAGAGCAAGGGTACCAATGCTTTACCAAGCAAGATATAGGTGTAGACATGGTGACATTTCAACAAATGTCCTTGGTGTGTGCTCCCAAGATATGATATTTATTTATATCTTGCCCGATTAGGAAAGGTCGGCTTCTAATTTTAGGATACTACGAGATGCGATAACGAGGAGGAATGAATTGAAAGTGGCTCGGAGTAAGTTACATATGACCACTAACCTCATTTCTCTTACAGTTATTAGTGGTGTTCTTAAGAAACCACAATTTGTACGTAGGCACCTACTACCTAGTGGATGCCAGTTACCCTAATGGCGAAGGGTTCTAAACTCCATTTAGGGGCCAAAGGTATCATATGCAATAGTGGGCAGTTGCATCTCATAATGCTGAGGAACTATTCAACCTTAGGCATTCAATGGCAAAAAATGTTATAGAACGTTGTCTTGCCTTACTCAAAAACCGTTGGACATTCCTAAGGATGTCTTGCCACTACCCCATACGCACACACAATCGAATCATTACTGCATGTTGTTTGTTGCATAATTTGGTTAGAAATGCAATGGCGTTCGATCCCGTGGAAGATGAGTTGTCAGAAGATGGTCCGATCGATGGTCATTGTGATATAAAGCTGGATGTCATTGACATGGTCGACACATCTAATTAATGGACTGCATTTAGAAACCAAACTAGCCAACAATATGTACAATGAATGGCGTGAAAGTAGGGGTGGCTAAATGCTTTACCACATTTTTAGTAACTGACCAATTATGTTGTCGAATTTATGCAAACTATTTTGTGTTTTTTTATGATTACTTTAGCCAAGTCATATGTATTCATGTGTTAACAGTTATTTAATGGTATGTGGCATGTACGTATGTAAGTAGGTCATGTCAAGTGTTGGTGCCAACATCTAAGTAGAGTGTGGTCCACGTCGAATATGGACTGATGTGGAGGAGGCTACTTTTATTCAAGCATTGAAAGAACTTTATGTCAACGGATGGAAGTGTCATAATAACACATTTCGCCTAGGTTATCTTCAAACATTAGAGCACAACTTAAAGGATGCATTCCTAGCGACTAACCTTTGGGCGTCATTGCATATTGAGTCGAAAATCAAAGCCTAAAAAAAGTAGTACAACTCTTTGTTTTCAATGCTAAGCACATTTGGTTTTAGATAGAATGATTGCGACAAGAAAGTGGATGTGTATGGTGAAGATATCTGGGTGGAGTACCTGAAGGTTTTACTAATCCTTTGCATCCATTAATAATAATAAACCAAGATTACTTGTATATATTATGCCCTAGTAATTTTTCTATTAACAATGTAGAAAGACAAGAATGTGAAGGGGATGCATGGTAGATCATGGCCATTGTATGATGATTGGGTCCTTATCTTTGGGGAAGATAGGGCAACAAGCAAGTTTGCCCAAGGACTAGAGGAAATGATCGAAGATAATTCAACTGTTGGGGATGTCCCTGAGGATGTCAATGTAGAGGCTCATCCAACTTGGGGAATGGATGATATTAACCATTCTCAAAGTGTAACTCAAGGTAGGGAGGATGTGAATGCCGCTCCATAGACACATAAGACCAAAAAAAGAAAAGCTAGTGATCTAAGTGATTCAATGGCCACAAATATTTCCCAAATATGTAAGGTATTTGGTGATTACGTTGTTTCAAGCGAAAACCAACTAACAAGCATTGCACAAAGAGTATGCTATGAGCAAGATACATCTACAAGTAGACGTGCCATCCTAGCAGAGTTGTCAAAACTAAATGGCCTTACAATGGCACACCGCCATGAGGTAGCATACAAAATTGTTTCAGACAACATAAAAGTTGACATTATTTTTAGCTTGCTCGGGGAAGAGCGAGCACTCTGGGTTTGTAGCATACTGTTGCCTAATTTAAATGTTTATCAAGGTTGTAAGTAAAGTTATTCGTGCCCTGCTTGTGAACTAAATTTTGGTTGACCCATGTGTCACATTTCCTTTTGCAACTTATGTATGATGTGGATGTTTTGGATGCTTGACTTATTAATTAAATATTTTTCTTTAATGTGTTGCTTGTATGTTGTTCACTTATTATGATCACATGACAAATTTATTTTCAATTAACTTTGTAATGGAAAGGCGAGAACGCTTCTCTATTGTCTTTGTTGGACGACAAGTTAGTGTTTATAAAACATGGACAGAGTGTCATAAGCAGGTTAATGCATACTCTAGTGCATTGTACAAATCATATGAACTCTATATCGTGGCAGAAAATGCTTTGCGCATGTTTATTGAACAACATGATGGTACAACAGAGGTGCAACCTTTGAATGTCGTTCAGGTCCATCCGAATCAACCAACATTGGAAAACCAACTTCCTGAAGATACAATGGACATTAATGTATCAACACGTACACCAGTCCACAATCATCAGCTTGCTACATGTGTAAAATATGTTGTTGTATTGGTTTTGGGTATGGTGGTCACCTGTATCATCTACATCTTCTTGGGTAGAATTGGATGAATTATTTATGTTGATCTTATGTAGGTTTGTGAATACTTTTTCACGACTTTGTAAGTTGTTTAAGAAATTTTTTGGTTTACTATCCATATGACTATTTCCTACGTATGTATGGTTATTGATGATGACTTAAAAATATATAATTTTTTTAATTGTTGTTGTAATAGTTAACAATGAAGCTACCAGACATGACTGAGAATGAAGTTGATGTCATGCTTGACTTATTAGTTTAGTTTAAGAATCGCGAAAATTACCTATAGCAAACAGGTATTTAGAAAGACCAACAAATATAAAAAGAAACTAGCCTTTGGCAACGAACAATTAAACCCAAAAAAAATTAATTAATTAAAGCTTATTATAGAAGGTCCTAAATTTAGATTTATTTTATCCAAGACAAGATGTATTTCATTACTAAGAGCCAAATCAAACAAACAGGGAAATATGACAAATGAAAAGCCCTCACTACTGCGAACCATACAAAAGTCATTTAGCTGTAGTACTAAGGAGTGGATTACAAAATCATAATAGAATAAAACTCTTTAATAAAACCTTATACTACATTGGGTTATCAAAAAACACTTTGTATATAGACTTATTTTTTTTGTGTATACAAATAATACACATCTAGTCTAGTTATAAATTATATACGGTATTATAATCAAGTTCAATCGTATTAGGTTTTTGCCCACCAAATAAACAAAAACATAGATAACTATATTAGATTGATGATTTTTTTGTCAATATATAATTAATCTACTCTTAAGATAGTGGTTATCAAAAATTGGATTATAATGGGTATTATTTTGGCACATTCATTTTATTCGTTTACACGAAATTAGTCTAAATTACCTAGTTAGGGGCGACCTAAGAGTTTTTGAGGCCTAAAGCAGAAAAAAAAAAAATGTATGGGGCTAAGACATGTTCTCAAAATTAATTTTTTAAAAGTTTTTATATGTAAATTCATATTTTTTAGTACCTATCCTTAAAGTCAAAAATTTCTTGCAAAATTTTATATCCCTATAACTTTTTTTTTTGGGTCAAATATCTCTATAAATTTTGGGGAATTCTTTATGCATTAAATTTGTGCACCAAAACTTGCACCAAATCAACTGCATTATTTGGATCAGTGATGTGACCCATTGATCTAAACTATAAGTGATTTGGTGTAAGTTTTAGTGCACATAATATTGCTCATTATATTAAGATTAAAATTAACTAAAATTTAGAGATTAAAAAAAATAAAACTAGGTAAATAAGCTGAAGTCTCTAAAACATATATAATATGAGAGTGAATAGAGTCTTTTTAATTTTCATAAACGAATAAGTTGCAATTTATATTTTCAAGTTACTAAACTATTCTAAAGCATCCATAAAAACAAATAGTCGTTGTAGTATAGTGGTGAGTATTCCCGCCTGTCACGCGGGTGACCCGGGTTCGATCCCCGGCAACGGCGTTTCAAACTCTCTTTTTTATTTACTTCTCTCTCACTCTCTCTCACACACACATAGATATTGAAGAAATTTGGGGTGAAGCTATCCTTCAAAATGAATGTGAAGGTGGTTTCAACTTCTGGTGTTGGCTTTCCCTTTTGCTGTTCTTCCTCAAAAACCCTAATTTCATCATTCTATTGGCGGAGGAGCATGATTGCGAGTAGCACTAAGAGTATGCATGACATTTTCTCACCTTCAGCTTCGGCGTCTATATCCACCGCCACAGCCACCGGTTTAGCCTCACCGGTGGCGGCGGAGGTGGAAAATACGAAACCGAAGCCGCAGCCACGGCCGTGGCTCATCGTTGGCCTCGGAAACCCCGGAAAGAGATATGATGGCACCCGCCACAACGTCCGTATCACTCTCTCTCTCTCTCTCTTGGTTATTACATTCGTCTTAAATTCGATTGCAATACTGATGTTTATGGTAATTGCCCAGATTATATAAGTGCCAGCCTTCATTATATATGTGTTGTCACCGGTTTCAATTTATTTTTTGCTTGAGTGTGCCATTTTCTATGCAGAATAGCTTGTTACTAAAACTTTGAAATTTCGAAAAGTTCGTTCTTTGATTGGTGAAGTTGTTTGTTATGCCTCTATGGTTCTGATTACTAAAAAGTGTACTCAACTGAGTCTCTGAGTATTAGTGAAACTGTGATAGACTATATTGTCCTTAGCTGAGTATTTTTGAACTATTTCTATATCATGTATGGGGATATTGCATAAGCTTACTACATGTTGCTAAACTATTCCTTTTCAGTGGGACTGGGAGCTGCATAATGACCTGAAAGAAACATTAGTAGAAGCAAATTCAACTTAAAAACTTGATTTACCTTCCGAAAAAAAAAAAAAACGTTAAAAACTTGATTGTGTGTCCAAAATCATGCTCTATGTGGATGTTATGTGCATATTTTTATTTTTTTTTAGTTAGTAATAGGAGTTTGAATTGGTCAATCAGTTAGTGGTTGAGCTAAAATAGGAGTTGTGGGTCAACTTGTTGAGATTTGGTTGCTTGTTTTTAGCTATTTTTTATTAGGAGTTTATTTAGAGATTGGGTTAGTGGTATAGTATTAATAGGTTTCCTAGGTAGTTATCTAGATGGGGTTAAGGAGGGTTAGAAGTTATCTTGTATTTGGTATTATGGTTAATGGAAAGGGTAACAAATATTTGTGATAAACTTTCCCTCGAAGTGAACCACTGGAGGTTTCTACTCCCTCAAAGCGAGTCTCTTTCTCCTCTATTCTATTTTTCTTTTATTTTTTTAATCCTTCAAAACACGTGCACGTAACAATTGGTATCAGAGTTATCAATCCTATTTATGACTACCTCAACAAAAATTTTGAGGTTGATGCGTGATGATTTTCATAAGGCATTTAAGAGTTTGATAGAAGAAAATAAATTGATGCAAGAGGGCTTCAACAAACTCAAGAAAATTCTTCAAGAAAAAAACTTTAAGGTTGAAAAGATCACGGTAGAAGAGAAAGTTGAAACGATTACTGCAAATGAATTAGAGCAAAAAGACATGCCCACTCACGGGAAGAAAGAAGGGAGAAACTATGTTGGGATCGTGGTGGAGGCGAAACATGACCACAATGTTGCAGTAACATTTTTTGGTGAGACACAATCGTACTCCATAACACGAATTGGGATGCATAGAGCGTCAGTCGTGCATGGATTTGGCACCAAACAATCCACTAATCAAAGTGCCTAAATGTGTTGATCATATTGACTGTTATGAAAAATGGAAGTGGGTTGGCCTCCTCCTTATTTTACATGATCAATAAAACTTTGGGGACAGGTTTTTTTAAGGGGACAGGATTGTTATGTGCATATTTTTATATTTTTTTTAGTTAGTAATAGGAATTTTAATTGGTCAATGGGTTAGTGGTTGAGTTAAAAAATAGGAGTTATGAGTCAGCTTGTTAATATTTGGTTGTTCATTTTTGGCTATTTTTTATTAAGAGTTTATTTAAAGATTGGTTTAGTGGTATAGTATTAATAGGTTTCCTACGTAGTTATCCGGAGGGGGGTAGTGAGGGTTAGTAGTTATCTTGTATTTGATATCCTTTTGTATTTAAAGGGCTTACGGTTATTTGAAAGGGTAACAAATATTTGTGATAAATTTTTTTGTAAAATGTTTGGGAATTCAGGTTCCCTTCGAAGTGAACCACTAGAGGTTTCTACCCCCTCGAAGCGGGTCTCTTTCTCCCCTACTCTATTTTTCTTTTATTTTTTCAATCCTTCAAAAATGTGCACATGACAGTGAATTCTTGTGTTGTCCATGTTCTGCATTAGCAGACCTAACCTGTAGCTTTTAGTGCAACAAATGGCTATCTATGGATGTGAAAGCCACGTATTAACACACTCAAGCTTTTACCAAAAAGTTCTGTAACTGCTTTGTATCTATATTATCATATAGTGGTGAATCACATTTTAGGTACTATGTGAAATGTTGATGGAAGATTTTAGTTGTACACATCAATTCCATGCCCCTTCCCTCCCTCACACCCCCCTCCTCAAAAAAAACAAAAAAAAAAACCTGTTGTTATTCATGCTGGCTGGCACCCCAGCTGAAAACGGAAGATGTTGAATTTGATATATCTAGATAAGGTGTGTAGCGACGGAATAGAGAGGAAAATTACATTATGATGGGTAGTGAGCAGTATGGATGATCTTGTTACGTCTCTCTAACTCTGTTGATGATAATCAAAATCTTGCAGGTCGGTTTTGAGATGGTAGACGCCATAGCTGAAGCAGAGGCGATAAGCATGAGCAGTGTTTCCTTCAAAGCCCTGTTTGGAAAAGGTTCTCTGGATATAAACTGTGCTTGCTTTTTACTTACTAATTCCTCCTCTAAGAACTTAACGCATGAAAGTTACATCACAGTAATTCAGTAAGCTGTATGTATCTGCTCTGGTTGCATTTAACACATTGGAATTTGCCATGCATATTCTAACTCTGTTGTCCTGAATTTTTTGTGGCCATTTTACTTATTCTGTAGATTGTTTTCAGTTGGAATATTGCACTCTTAATCACCAAGGAAAAATTAGCCATGGTTCTTCTTTCTTTTTTTTTTTTTTTTTTTTTTTTTTTTTTTTTTTTTTTTCTGACAGTGGAAAGATCTACCCTATTTATAGTGAATCAGAAGTTCATAAATTTGTGGATTACACTTTGTTTGGACTTCAGTGCATTAGGTTTTTTATTGCAAAGATAGGAGATGGTGGGCACCACCATAGCTTACGTCTTAAGTATTTTGAGAATCCTTTCAACTGAAATCTCCCATGTTAACCGGTTAGCAATTTCTATTTTCACTTCCTGGGTTTGTCAAGGGATTTTTAGGCAAACATCTAGGGCCTGTTTGGTTTGTTTCTCAAAAAACAGTATCTGAAAATTATTTTTGGGAAAAGTTTTTAAAAATTTTTAGATTGCAAAACTTGTTTGATTATATATTTTTGAAAATAGTTTTAAAGAACAAAAATTATAAAATTTGTGTGAACAATAATCCATAATTCTCACCTCTCTTCAACTCTCTATCTCTTTCTCTTTCACTGTGCATCAAGACCACCATCGAAACCCACAACACCGAAACCGACAACCTCCCAAAACCCACAACCACCACCTGTGTCTTGAACCCAGATGTAGAAAAAAAAAGACACTAGAAAGGACGGAGAAGACGCCGGAGATCGTCGAAGTTCTTGAACCCAGATCATGGGTGTGTTTCGTCTAGATTTGCCAAAGTGGAGAGAGAAATGGTCTGTGTTTTATCTCTGTTTCGTCTGGACAGGGTCGTTGCAGAGAGAGAAAGAGAGAGAGAGTGGAGATGGAGAAAGATGCAGGTGAAGGGCTTTTATACTTCAACAAAAAGAAATACATTTTGCTGCTAAGGGAGTTTGATGGGTGAACCTCATTAAAGAGGAGAGGTTGTTTCCCTTGATTTCTATTTTAGCATGAAAACTTAAAAAACATCATTTTGTTGTTCTCTAAAATCACATCTCAATTCCCAAAATTTTCAAAAAATTAGAGAACAGAAAAGCTATACAAACAGCATTTTCCTTGTTTTTAGAGTTTTGAGAACAAAAAACTGTTTTTAAAAACCAAACCAAACATGCCCCTAACCTTTTAGCTGTGGGCTTATATTTTGTAACATTCTAGATAATTTACTATTATTAGCTGCAAATAAATGGGCTTTATATTCAGATTTCAATTTACTGCAGAACCTCACTTTTGTGAAATGGATGGGAACTCAGTTACCTGACAATTTAGTGGCTATGTTCAGTAGAGCATCACAAACTCTCTGAATTCAAGACATGGCACATGATTATTTATGATTATATGTTTTAACCCAAAATAAGACCAATTTTGAAATTATTAATTCCTTGAGGATGTAGAATACTGTTATCATTTTTGAGCAGTTAAAAGTGGACTTTCAGGTAGGTTCCAAAAAAAAGGGCAGACCTGTGCTGGACTTGTTTTTCATGTTGACATGTCTGTGGCATGACAATTATCAATGGCAGTGTTCCACATGCCAAGGTATGTCAGTAAACTAAAATTGGCCAAAAAGTTAATCCGTGGTTATGCTCAATGTCCTAGGCCTGGTGATAGAGTCAGCTAATTCAGTAGCCTTACAAGCTGATAACTGTGAGGATTAGCCTAGGGTCTCCATTATGGTGATGGATGTCTAAGATGGAAATTTTGGAGCTGACCCGCTTTGTAAAGTTTTGAGTTTGGAACCTTCTGTTTTTTGTTGCTATTTTCAATCAATTAAGAAGACATTTATGTAGGCACATAAATTTGACCACATGCTTGCAAATTGGGTTGGCGGGTTTATACTGTCCCTGTTCACCCTCAGTTGTGGGCTTGTGTTGCGTCCTAAATTGGAGATTATCAAATCAAGTTAGGGTTGTGGTTAGATGTGTTGAACCACCAGCTCATCTAGAAGGCTAATCAGTTAGAGAGGCTATAACTCAAGGATTTCTATTTCAACCGCCGTCTCACGTCATTCCAAGTTGAATTGTCAACTCATCTAAAAGCTTAAGCTTTTAGAGAGGGTATAAAGTATTTCTATTTCAACAAGATGTATCTTCTCCAGAAGAAGCTTCTGGTTGCCATTTTTTTAATGTTTTGTAAATGTTGAAACTTATTTTAATTCTAACTTCAGTCCGCCCAAAGGGAACACTTTTCCTGGCAGATATTGAGTTTATCCTATCTTTTTTTCTTGTTACCTTGCAGAAAAAAAAAATATTTCGTGGATTATGAAACTATTTTTTTGGAACACTTCTTAGAACTCAGTGGCTTCTTGTCGAAATGTTTAGAGTACTTAGTTTTACCTTGATATATCACTGTCACCTTTTAGTCATCCTACGGCTTAAAGTCGGATGGCGGATCTTGTTCACCGTATACAAGAAATTTTGGTTTTGCCTCTTTATTGGCAGCAAAAGTGCAGAGATATTTAAGTGTTAGAAGTGATCGTTTCATGCATTTTACTGTGAATGTTCTGGTTCTACCTGCAAAATTGATATGATCCAGATGGGAAATGATTTATTTGAATTGAAATAACATACAGGATTTACATTTGAAGTCCTTTATTCAAATTGATAGCAGTCCGAATTTTATTGCAAACTCTAGGTGATCATCTGCACACCATCCCCCTGTTCTAGTGTTTTTGAAGAATTCCTAAAATCATAAAGATATGCCAATATTGATATGACTAGGAATACATGGATAAAGTTCAAAACCATTTCAGAACCTATCAACTTTTAATATCTGAATACACAATTTTTTCGCTTGGGACATTGATTTTTTCTCCGATTTGTTATTAATTTGTAGGTTTCATTGGAAATGTTCCAGTTATGCTTACTAAACCACAAACCTTCATGAATGCAAGCGGTGAGTCTGTAAGTAAGCTCATCCGGGAATTTTTTGCCTCGAGTACTTTAATATGATCTCTTATTGATTTGTTAGATTGTTTTGACCATTTATGAAAGGTTGGAGCCATTGTTTCATATTACAAGATTCCACTGAAGCAAGTACTTGTGGTAATGAATCTACCACTATTTATTGACTTCAAGTGTTATCTCTCTTCATCGATAAACTCATGATTCTCTTGCCTACAGATTTTTGATGACTTGGATTTGCCATTTGCAAAGTTGCGGTTATTGCCAAAAGGTGGACATGGAGGACACAATGGGTATCTACTATGTTTACCAGTCTAGTTTCTCTAACTGCTAATATTAGTCATGTTTCGATATTTGTGATGAATGTGTGAATCCACTATTGACTCCTTTATGCTTCATGCCTTAGGCTTCTTGATGAACAATGACCTTATACATTCTAGGAATTCTAGATACATTACATCCAAAAAGGTGTCAAAATGTCATTTTTGTTGCTTAATGTGAATTTGAGACCAAAAACAATCATGTTGGCACAGAGCAACAGAATTATCTTCTCTGCATTAAGATTTTTTTTTTTGAAGTAACTTGGTTCGACAATGATGGGTTTTTTCAGTATTTAGGGCGGTTGTACTTGATTTAAAGGGCTCATGTTTTTCCAATATGATTTGGTATTATAGGGATGTCTGGAGAATTGACCTTTTGGAAGGATTTATCCTTAACGCAATCTTGTGCAGAAGTCATCTGTTTTATTCAAACTTTTGGTTGCTTATGGCCTTTTTTTTTTTTTTTTACCGAAATGTAATCGTTATCAATTTAATCCTTCAATATTGACTTAAGTTGGCCATGCCAGCATGATTCAAAACCTTGTCATCTCTTGCAGGATGAGGAGTGTGATCGATCATTTTAATGGTAGCCGTGATTTTCCTCGATTAAGAATAGGTAGGATCCTAGAAACACCAACATTCCTCTGCCAGCATGTTTGTTCTTTGCGTAATCACCAATGTTGTGAACCTTTTTTGTAGGCATTGGGAGGCCTCCAGGAAAAATGGATCCCGTCAACTTTGTTGTTCGCCCATTTAACCGTCAAGAACGTGAAGAAGTACGATGAACTTGCACATTGTCCGGGAAAAGTTACTAATTTGAGATGTTGACAATTTTTTTTTAATCACATCTGAATTTTATTTATTTTGCAGTTGGATTTTGCTTTCCAAATTGGCTTAGAAGCTGTGCGGATTCTTTTGCTCGAGGGATTTGATAAAAGTGCAACATTTGTTAATAGTGCAAAATCCTTGGAACATCTTGGCTAAAGTACTGTCAAGTTGCATAGCTTAGGTGATTACAATCCGAAGATATTCAGGCAAAGAGCAGGTCCTTTTATGGTGAATGAATAGGATTTTTTATAGTATGGGACAAGGCCCAGGGCCCAAGATACAGTCGAGATTAGTTCAGAGACCCTTCTTGAGATCAGCAGGCATTGAGGACTTAATTAACATATCAACTACAAATGGTTCTCTCTTTCTCTCGTTTCATTTTTTGTAATTTATAAAATCTGTAATTTTTTTCATGCGAGTCTTGTAATCCGGATTTAGATTCTCTCGATTACACTTTATTCCAATTTTCCTCAATAAAAGATTACTCATTGTGTATTAATAGGAGATTCGCTTGTTTTATGATGGGTGATCTACTATTGAGAGAAACTCCATTTCTTTTTGAATAGTTGATTTATTCAAATTAGCAAATATGTTTATTCCAAATTTTTAAAAAGATGTGTTTTTTGAATTAAATAAGTTTTATTGATGTGGACAATTTACTCACTATTCAAAAAGAATTGAATGATCTTCTAATTATTTAGAAATTGGATAGACTATAAACTCGGACGCTTTGGGTTTAATTTTTGTTAGAAATTATTGAGTTTAATTGATATTTATGGTTAGCCAATGATTGCACCAATACAACCTTGTATTGGAGAGATTTCTCATAACTAAAATTCTCTCAAGATTCTGCCAACTAATAATAAATCAATGAATAATCCTTGTCAAAAACAAAAAATTGATTTCTTATTCCTTTTGTTTTTAACGAATTCCTATTGGGACATCTTTCAGACTGTTCTTGATCTCCCGGCAGGTGCATTGTAGATGATCCAAACCCCTGGATGTAGGTCCAAGCATCCAATTATTTTCAGTGGTACCCACATTTAAGTACCTTATGAGTTGTATAACATAGTTTTCCAATCCAAGACAAAACAATAATGTTGTGGATACAATCTGCTTGGTCTAATGTATCTACCCCAGTAAATTTTCCATCACCAAAAGCAATTCCACTCACAGGTGAAGCTGTTTATGTCCCTCTCAACCCAACAATTTTGAGCTATGTTGGGACCTGGGGCATTCTCCCCCACCCCAAAAAAAAACCTGGTATTTTAAATTTTACATTTATACTATTTTTTATATTTATTTGATCCCCAAAGTATTGATCAAGATTCTTGTACAGTCTAATTTAATAAAAGAAAAAAAGATAAAATAAAGAGGGATAAGTTTCTATACGGAGTAATGCTATTTGAATCTAAAAATCTGACTTAATTTGTTGACCTAATGACGTGGTTTCATTATAACTATTAGATCAATACCAAGTTTCAATGTTTCATGGGATCCGGGGTTAATCCAAGGTTATAGTGAATTAAATCAATAAATTATGTCTCAATAACATTGTTTTTCTTTGTAATGTGAAAAAAGGATAGAAATTATCACACTTCCCAATCAAGATTTTGGTCATCATACTCAGATAAGCTTCTTTTTCGGGGCTAATGTTTCGTTTTGTACTATGAAAAAATAGAAAGATAAAAAATTAAGAAAATAGAAAGTTGAAGGAATAGAAAACATATATCATGTATGATAAGGAAGGAAAATAGAAAGGAGAGAAAATCAGATAAATTATCTTTCCTTTCAACTCATCAAAATCAATCCTTTCAAAATTGGGAAGAAAAGTGGATGAAAAGTTAATTATATGTGTTGAAATATATGTTATCTATATAATAAAATAGAACGATTTTGAATTTTGAAGACAAATAGCGGCCCATATCGTTTTGTAATAAAAAATGTCATTATCCAACAGACGATACTATCCCAAACTGTCTCAAGCTATTGATGTATCAGATCGTTTTGATCCGATATACCACAGTAGCTCTTTTGACATATTTTTGTTGCTCAAAATTTTTAGTTTCCAAAATTGACATCCCTACATTGAATTCGCCTCTTAATCTCGCCCAAAATCAATGTCATCTAAATCTAAAATTTTGTCCAAATCTAAAATTAACGTCTATATTTAAATTTTGACCCCCACTCATGCTGCTCTAAATAATATCATTTTTATATCAGAGAAATCACTTTTTCACATCATTGCTTCAGAATATTCAATAATAATGATAATACTATATTATTTACTCCACTTTCCTTCATCACCTGCATCCATCTCGATCTTTTCATCCAATTATTTTTGATATTCCCTTTCTCCTTTGCCTCCCTCTCTTTCTCTCTTTGTTCCTCCATTCGATCTTTGCGCCCAACAAATAACCACCTAGGGCAGGGCCAACAGTATGAAAAGAAAAAAAAGCATGGCCTTTAGGCCTCAAATTTTTAGAAAGTCCCATAATTTTAGGTACATTATTAGCCCACAAAAAAAATTAAATCCATTAAATTTTAATTCTTACAAAAAAACTCCAAAATAATTAAATCTAATCAAAATTTTTATTATAATAATTTGGATTTATAATCCAATCCAAAATATTAAAAACTTAGAACTAAAAAATATACTCAAAAGTCAACTCATATTTACTCTCATGCATTCTCTCTCTCTCTCTCTCTCTTCATCCAGTGAAAAAATTAAAAAACAAAAATAAAAGTTAAAATTAAACACTTTCTTTCTTTCTCTGTAGTAAAAAACAAAAATAAAAGTTGAAATATATTTTTTAACAATATTAACACATACTTCTTTTGTCTCCCGCTCACATAGAAAATTAAAAATAAATTAATTTTTTTTTAAAATAATACTAAAAATAAATAGGCCTCTATTTAATATTTCTGTTTTAGACCTCAAATTGGCCTGAGCTGCCCCTGTAGCCACCGACGCCCCTTTCTTTTCTCTCTTTTTCTCTCACCAAAACCCTCTATCTTCACAGCAACACTATAGAGGCACCATCGGAGACACATTGATCAACCATCGACAATCTTTGTGACGCCCTTAAAATCGGGGGTCCTTTTATCAACCGTTGACCACAAATCAACCCCGCGAAAAATACCCGTGATAGTTGCACAACTTGACTCCACGTTATTAACATTCTCTTTACCAAAATTTCAACCCACACGTAAAACCTGTGTTCGTTTTATCATTGAATCCAACCGTGGTGCAATGTACCACTAGTCATACTCAATTATAGTCCATTTATATCATTGGAACCCAAGAACTCATATCCCAAAGACTTGTCAATGCACTCTTAAAATTTCAGATTTTTGAAAAACCTTCTGGAAGGTTTTGCTCGACCTTTCGGAAGATTTTACTTACTAGAAAAGTTCCTTCAGAGGTTTTTCATTGATCTTTCGGTAGGTTTTCATAAACCTTCCAGAAGATTTAGCATACTGAAATCCTATCCTGAAGAAAGATGTGTCAACCTTCCAGAAGGTGTGTTCAAACCTTCCGAAAAGAAGTTGCACACTGGATTCCTTAATTTTAGAAGAATGTGAAGACTTTTCGGAAAGTTAGAATCGACCTTCCAGAACGTTTCACCTACTGTCAAACAATTTTTCTTTGTCTTTGTCCAAACCTTCCGGAAGATTTTGCCTACTGGATGAAAAGTTGCATGAACCTTCCGGAAGGTTTTGTGGACTTTCTGGTAGGTTTTACCTACTGGACAGAAAGTTTACACTAGCATTCCAGAAGGTTGTTGTGACCTTCCGGAAGGTTTTGCCCAGAATTTCATGCTTCATCAAATTTTCATTTCTAATTCATCCAAAACCTTTTCAAACTCATTCCAGACATGGATAATGACATTTTCTACATTATACATGATTCATACAAGTTCTATTACATGCATTTGCATAATTTTTACATATTAAAACATTGTTCCAACAAAGATTACACAAAATATGCCACAAAAGTCATAAGTCGACTTTTCTTCATCGTTGATGCCCCGAATGCGAGTTCTCTCTCGGTACGAACTCCGCACTTGAAATGTTTCCCGTATAGGTTGAGTCAACGCCCAGTAGAATATTTCCTACATAAACTACTCCCCAACCTAAGTGCATATGTAATGTTCATATACAACATTCACAATCATATAATCATTCCAATCAAGAATATACATGATTTATGTTGAAATCTACCATGTCATGCCATGAATGAAATGAAATTCACTCACGCACATCAACCCGAGCCCTCGCCGGCTCTCACCACACTATGCAATGCAAGTGTAAAACATTTATCATTGATGAAATACATTCAATGATCATTTTTGAAATACCAACTATACATTTATAAAACCATTTCATTCATGGATGTTTCCCACCAAATAAAAACTTTGTATTACAAAATCATGTGTCTTTGATTGGTATCGGATTCCAAAATCACACCGACTGGCTCTGTACGCCATTACACTTTTTGGACTTACACCGACGAAGTGTATGAACCACTAGCCAGGCTTTGCACCCGAGGACGTGTCTAGCTCTTCTTGCTATACCCCGACACAAGTTTTCTTTTCTATGCAACTGTGAAACTCTGTTGAACCTTGGTCCAACGGTACCGAGCCCAATTGTCATCCACCAAGGATGATGTTTGACCCAAACCATGCACCCACACTCAAAAAAATTTTGATGTCTCCGTGCATATGCAATGTAATGCACCATTGCTATTTCAATGTCATGCCCACATGTAATGAATGCCACATAAGCAACTTTAATATATATTTTCATATTTCATGGTCACTCATATCATATGCATATTATAGCCAAATTTCATCTCAATGTTAATATATCAAAGATCATATATCAACATGTTCATAGCCATCCATAATCCATAAGCATGTTATTTCATATATGCCAATAACACACTTAATTCACGAAGGCATAATTAAAGCACATAACATGTTCACATAATATCAATTTTCATGGAATTACACAAGTAATTACCATATATCAATTCCAAGCTAGGAATCTATTTTAACCTATTTCATCAATTTCACAACATAGACAAGTGATACATATTTCTATCAACCTACACGTTACATATAAACAACCTAGGTTGTAAATAAACCTAAGTA